GGGAAAGAGGAAATAGTGGGGGAGGGGGAAGTGAGATGCCTCCCACAGGTTCTCATTTGTGTGTGTGTGTATATCACATTCTCTCTCTCTCTCTCTCTGTAGGAAATCAGCCTAATGTTCTGGAGTCAGCTGAGGCCTTTCACCCTGGCAAGAACAAGTGGGAGAGCCTGCCACCTATGCCCACCCCACGGTGTGCATGCTCCAACATTGTGGTAAAAAACTGCCTTCTGGCTGTAGGTGGAGTGAATCAGGGGCTGAGTGATGCTGTGGAAGCACTGTATGTGTCGGACTCCTAGCTGGCCTTTCTCCACTCCCTTCCCCACATTAAGCACCGGAGAAAGTGATAGCTCTGCAGCTCAGTGTGTGGGGCCAGCACCCACCACGCCACACAGGAGGACTTGGCACTGTCCCCTTAACCTGCCTCCCACTCAGCTGCTTTTCTGTAACCCTTTCACTGTGTACTGGGGGGGTGAGCGGTTCCTTGCCCCCCCACAGCTGCACAATTTTGTGGCTCTCTTTAATTATCTCAGCTCTTCCTTGTGATGAAGTCACCTATGTTGTTGAGCTCTACCACCTAAGGAGCCAATAGTCACCTCCCAGTGCCAACTTTGAATGGCCAAGGAACATGCTACCAGTAAACTTTCATGGAATAATATGGGATGCTTCAGCCAAGGATTAGCCAAGAGCATCCTCTATCAACTGAAAAGCCTCTTTGCCTTCCTCTGAAATACGTTCTACACAGTTGTTGATCGAGTCCTTTCAAGTATTATTCATACACGGGAACAAACTGAGAACTGAATCCCATGGAGCTGCAGCTTGCATAGCCCAGTAACTCTTTGAAAAGACCCAGTGGTGTTGGTGGATTTTAATGTTTTTTTCCTGTAGGAACCAGCAGCAATGCAAAGCCCTAAAGTCTCCCTGCTGTGACAATAGTCTTCAAGGCATGCAGAGTTCAAGGCACCCCGATTAAATTTCCAGGGAGCTTCCTATCTGTGAGAGAGCAACTAATGCTATGCTTTGATTCATAGCTCCTGCAATTAGAACACACATTGCAGTTGACAGAGGGCTGATGGCTAAAAGGCAGTAACTAAGAGATCAGTTTATATAGGGGAATGCCTCTATACCAGGGATTTAGATTGTGCTCCTTGCAAAGCACTTTGTCTCTCGTAGATACACTGCACATTCTTTCTCTGTGTCTCAGTCACTCTCTCACACACAGAGTTTGTATCCAGTGGTCAGTCCATTGCACACAAGGGACCATTTGCAAAATCTGAATCCAGCTTAATATGCCCACCATTTGTGGAGCAAGGATGTTGTAGGCTCAGCACATACTAGCTTTCACATATCCCACAACAACAACAAAGCTTGGGTGCAGCCTCACCTAGAGTTTTTAATTTCATATATTATTTTCTTCTTTACTTTGGCTTTGAGGTTGAAATTGTCACTACGTCATCCAGATGGTGTATAATAGCTCATTTGCAGTATTAGTAAGTAGCACAATTAAATTCTATATTAATATGGTACCTTGAGCTCTTGTTATAGAGAGTTAGCCTCCTGCTTTGGATTGTGCACATAGTGGGACAGTGAGAGCATTCCACAGTATGATATCTGAAACATTGTCTTTGGATGGGGAAGTCCATATGCCATTCCAAGTTCTGACTGTTCCCAAGTCAATTCTCCATGGCACCACATTCTCCCCAACAGATTCTGAAGAAACTCTTCAAAAATGGCCTAAGTCCTGTCTGAACAAGACCATAGTCTGTCAGGGTGTCAAACTCAAATATGTTACAGGTGTTACAGGACCACACAGAAGATGTCCAGGAGTTCCCATAATTTTTCATCCTGAAAAATATCAGTTCCACATGAATTCAATAGCAAACCATCAATTCCACTGAAATTTTAACATGTCCCTTTGCTATAGCTTGGTGATTCTTGGAGAAAGTACCTTCGAAAAGGCAGGAATGTCAGATTTCAGTTACTGATGGGCTGGTTTATTTGCCTTACTGAGGGCATTGATTTCTGAAGACTAGAGTTGGAATTTAGAGTGTCAGCGGCTGCATTAGTTTACTATGGAGTCTGGTATGTTTGAAAAGGATCTTGTCTCTAGAAGGCTGAGATGTGAATTCCGTTTTCACCGCTCCCCTGCAGAAGCTCACTTTTGGATGGTTCATCCAATCATTGCCATCTGCATGCAAACTGTTGGTGCTTGTTGGTAATGGTCTGAAGCTGCTCACTTTGTGCTGTGTCATACAGGTGCCCCATCCTGGTTCACAGGGGAAAACACAGATACAGCAGGCTCTGAGCTGAACAGCCGTAGTATGTCAAGTGCTTTCAAGTTCCATTGATCCCAATAGCAGAGCAATGCACCAGCTTAAATCTTATCCATTTTATTAAATGAGACTTACATGTGCCTGACTGCTGGCTGGATCGAGCCATGGTATAATGGCAAGGACTCTGGGTTCCATAGAAAGTGGCTGTAATGATAAGAAAGTTACATAAAACACGTCTTCATCACTCATGCTGGTATGGGAATAACAGCCATGCATTTTCAGGGAGCGACGTTTATGTACATTTGCTAATAAAGTCCCTGGTCCCTGGGAAGAAAATAGGATTTAGAACATCATAATCGCAGGCATGTTGTGCAGAACAAGGTTTGGGGGCATGGAAGGGGTGGAGGAAGCTGTACGGCAGCTTAGTGAGAACCAATCTAGGGTGTAAACAGCCTAAGCCTCTTTCCTTCTTTTGGAAAGCCACTTGCTGTTTCTAATGTGGAATACAAAAGCAGGCTTTCCTCTGGCTGGCTGATAGAGCTGTCTGTGCTAATCCTCTGCCCATACTGAGCTGGCAGATTCAGCAAATGATGCAAATGCTGGCAGAGGAAGCCTCTGAAATTCCATTTCCGTGCTGTGTAACCACCCAGCAGGCAAAACATCCTCCTGCTTTCCTTCTGTGAGTCAATAGGACACATATCAGATGGAAAGACACTTGCGGAGACACAAAGAACAAATTGGGTATATTTCGCCTACAGAAGGAAGATTAAGGGCTGCTTTATACGCCTGACATTTTCTCAAGCAGGATCTTATGAGAAATGGATGTGTGAATATGGTTATTTTGTCTTTTCCCACTCGTTAGGGAAGCCACTGACTGCCATGGCTTCTTAGTGTATCAACATGTGTGTGATTGTCACATGTAACTGTCTCTGGGGCTGTTTCTGCATCCGATTACATCTGTGTAGCGGAAACCTCATATTGACCTTAGTAGGGAAAAGTGATGGGTGTCCTTAAATAGTTAGATTGACAATAATGCAGAATAGGCAAACAGTAGTTTTTTCGTCCCCCGCCACTGAGGAAATAGGAAGGAACAGGCTCCAGAGTATTTTCACACTGAAATAGGCTTTAGGACAGCTCAACACAAGGTCATATCTGCACTTCTTTCTGCCTCACAAAGGGTTGCTTAATATGCCTTGTTTTAACTCCTTGCCCCCCAGTTCCTTATAGTAAAATTGAAGCCCCTTTTTAGGCAACACTTTATGGTTGCATAGAATGTGATGGATATTTGGGGCTGCCAGCTCCAGATTGGGAAATACCTGGAGATTTTGAAAGTGGAGCCTGAGGAGGGTGGGGTTTGGGGAGGGGCTTTAGTGCCATAAAGCCCATCCTCCAAAGTGGTCATTTTTTCCAGGTGAACTTGTCTCTATCACATGGAGATCAGTTGTAGTGGCGGGAGATCTCCAGCCACCACCTTGAGGCTGGGAACCCGGTGGATATTACTCTTTTCTTTTTCCAGACGCCAAAGCTCTGGAGTGACCCTCATTTCTGATGTTTGGATTTGACAATCCTGCAGGTGCATCTAATGATCTTGTGGGAACATAGCTGTGGGCAAAGATCAGCAAAACATTATGCCAAAAAGAAAAGAGAAAAATGCACCAATAATTGGGTAAGGGAATGAGTGACCTGGGCAAATTAAGAAGGGATGGGGGAAAATGTCAACAGTGTCCTCGTGGTTATGAGCAAATATGTCACTTGGGGGCAGAAAGGGGGATACTATGGGTGTTCCCTCTAAGCTGAGTTAGTGTGAGCTAGCTCACAGTTTTTTAGTCTCCGTCTCACACATTTTTGTCTTAGCTCAGGAAGGAGGGCTCCAGAGCAATCTAAATCGCTCACACAACTTTAATGCCAGTAGTTCACAAAGTAGAATTTTTGCTCAGAAGACTCCACAGCTCAGAGGGAGCATTGAACAGGTATGGAGTCTAGAGTTCAAGGTCTGTCAGGGAACATCAGAGGCACGGAGGACTGCCAGCCCCAAACACAGGTCTTTTTTTCATTCCAAATAATATTAAATATAACTAGATCAAGAAATGGATGCAAGAACACAGACATATGAAAACCAATGCTCCCTCTAAGCTGTGGAGTCTAGTGAACAAAAATTCTACTTTGTGAGCTACTGGCATTAAAGCTGTGAGCGAGCGATTTGGCTACTGCATAAATTAGTTTGCTCTGAAGCTATCCTTCCTGAGCTAAGACAAAAATGTGTGAGCCAGAGGCTAAAAAACTGTGAACTAGCTCACACTAACTCAGCTTAGAGGGAACACTTATGAGAACCTATCAGATACAGCCTCCAGAGATTCATGCCTAGGTTGCTGAGAGTTTTCCTTTCTGCCCCCAAGTGACATATTTGCTCATAACCACGAGGACACTGTTGACATTTCCCCCCATCCATTCTTAATTTGCCCAGGTCACTCATTCCCTTACCCAATTATTGGTGCATTTTTCTCTTTTCTTTTTGGCATAATGTTTTGCTGATCTTTGCCCACAGCTATGTTCCCACAAGATCATTAGATGCACCTGCAGGATTGTCAAATCCAAACATCAGAAATGGGGGTCACTCCAGAGCTTTGGCGTCTGGAAAAAGAAAAGAGTAATATCCACCAGGTTCCCAGCCTCAAGGTGGTGGCTGGAGATCTCCCGCCACTACAACTGATCTCCATGGAAAAAATGACCACTTTGGAGGATGGGCTTTATGGCATTATACCCTTCTCCATTGTACCATGGGTTCTCCATAGGTACCATGGCATCCATCAGTTCTTTCCCTGGCACTCACCAAGCTTTTTAGAAAACATGCAAAGCCATTGTAAGGCAGGGCTTGTTATTGGCTGCCGTCATTCAGATGATAGCCACTGGATGATCAGAAGGACTGGTAAGCATTAGGGATCAGCACAACTGGCTGATGAACTAAAGTTCATCATGAATTTTGACCTGCTCATAGTTTGTGAAGCAATGTTCATGAACTGAAGAACTGAAAGAAACTCAGCTGTTTGCTTTAAATGACTCCAAGCCATTTCACCCCCTGCTTTCTGCTCCCCACCACAGTGAGCAGAAAGCAGGGGGTGAAATGTCTGGGAGCCATTTAAACCACTGGTTTCTGCTCTCCACAAAAAGCCACAGGCAGCAGGGGTTTAAGGTCAGCTGTTTGGTTTAAATGGCTTAGAGCCATTTAAACCCCTGCTTTCTGCTCCCCACGAAAAGCCATGGGGAGCAGAAAGCAGGGGTTTAAACTTTTACGAACTGGGTTGGCTCATGAACCAACCTCCCCATTCATGTGGATTTGTAATTCGGTTTGTGGTTCAGCCATGAACCATAGACTGAACCACAAAAATGTGGTTTGTGCCCATCCCTAGTAAGCATTCCCCCTTCGGGCCTTCCTTCTTATTCTTTCTTTTTCTCCCTTCCTCCCCCCATGCTTTCTGTCATTTCTTTTTAGTTTCCAATCTCTTTCTTCCTCTCTCCTCTCAGGCTTTTCTTCTTTACTTTTTATTCCCCTTCAGCAGTTCCTTTGTGGAGAAAAGCATTGTTTGGCTCTGCCTCCTGTGGCAGCCATTTTGGGGTGGTGTTCACCATACGCTCTCAAAATTCCAAAGGTGCCCACAGGCTCAAAAAGGTTGGGGGGGGCCCTGTTCTATAACATCAGAGAGGGAATGTCAGAACCCACAGCCAACAACGGAGTACACACATTCAGGAATGGTAATACTTTTATTGCAGAGCTATAGATGCAGTAACATAAGCACTGTTAAGAATGGCGGCGGCCCTATGGGCAAAGTAGGATATAGGGTATTCGTATGCACACCCCCTACAGCACTGGCCAATTAGGCACCCTCCTGCGCGCGGGATAAAGCTTGGAGACCGTTAGGTAGCTAAAGCTGAGAACGAACACTCTCCCACGGCACCTAGGAAGAACCCAGACAATACAACTCCCTCCTGCACATCTGTATGGATAAGCATTTTGGCGTAAAGCAGAAAAAGCACAGAAAGGAATGCAGTAGCAATTAACAAAATCAGCTTCTCCTGACCATTCCGGGAAGTCTCCCGGTTATTCCAGGAGATCTCCTGGTTTGTCCGGGAAGTCGCAATGGAACTGTCGTAACAGTCCAGGGGCCCGAATATCCTCGACTTCCACCCATTCGAGGTGCTGGGGTCCAAAATCCACCCACACAACCAAATACATCAACTTTCCCCGTTTGATCTTAGAGTCCAGAATCTTAGATATCTCAGAATGCTCCTCTCCCTCAATCATGATAGGAGGGGGCACCGGTTTCGATGGACGCCAAGGGCTGGAACCCGAATCTCTCTTCAGGAGGCTGAAATGAAATACAGAATGCAACTTTCTCAATTTTTTTGGCAAGTCCAAATCAACAGCAACATCATTGATGATCTTTTTCACCTTAAACGGCCCAATGTATTTCCAACCCAACTTCCAACTCGGCCGTAACATCTTGATATTTTTAGTAGA